GGAGGAAACGCGTAAAATTTCCAGGATTTATCCCACTTAATTGTAAATGCATCAGATGTTAAGGCTCCTGGATCTTTCAACCATGAAATATATGTATTACATTTAGCATTTATCCTAGGCGCAAACAAATCGATATTACGCTTACCAAACTGTTTTACTATTTTAGAAAATTTCTTACTATTTAACGAATATTCCATCTCAATATTTAAAATTCTCGATTGTTCATCAGCAATTATATTATCTTTGGATGGTATATATGAAGCATAGAGCATTATTTCCCGTTTTTCGCACCATAGCCATATTTGTCTACTTAGATTACTCAATTTCTCAAATTGTATGCCTCCCATTTTATTTATATAGGCTATGGCCGTTTTATTGTCTACACGCAGAAGAATGTTACAGTTTTTTGACTCTGAAGCAAAACACTGCAATGCATAATGAATAGCCAAAAGTTCGAGAAAATTAATGTGATGTTTCATATCTTCTTGATCCCAAAACCCATGGGTAACTTCTGTATTACATGCAGCCCCCCATCCCGTTTTGGACGCGTCTGTATAAATTTCGTAAGCATATTCTTTACTACCCAAATCATTAAAAGATGTGTCTATTGTCTGTTTCCACCACAATAGTTCCTTACAAATAATCTTTGATACTATAATTTTAGAATTATAACTTCTAAATCTCTTTAAACTTAAAAATTTTGCTCGTTCTAATCTCTTAATATGCAACCATCCGTATTGTACAACCGGACAAGCTGAAACTAACAATCCAATAATACTTGATAACTCTCTTATTTTACATGTTCTCTTCCTAACAAAAGTATTAATTGCATTTAAAATTGCCTGTTTTTTATGTTTGGGAAGATAAAATGTCATGTTCTGACTATTGTAAACATATCCTAAATATTCACAAACTTGACTCGGGTCAATTTTTGATTTTTTAAAGTTTATTAAAAAACCCAATTTTCTCAAAGTGGACAACACTATAGCTATACTCTTATCTACTTCACTTTTAGTTTTTCCTAGCAGTAAAATATCATCCAAGTAAATTATACCCAGGATTCCGAGTTGCCTAAAATAATTAAATATTGGTTTTAAAAGCTTAGTGAAAACATAGGGTGCCGTAGATAAACCCATAGGCAAGCAATTAAATTCAAACAGTTTTTCCGCAAATTTAAATCTAAGAAATTTCTTATCTGTATTATTTATTGGTATCATATAATAGGCATCTTTTAAATCGATTGTAGCCATGTAGATATTTCGAGAAATTAAATCTTTAACAGATTTATAATTATCCAATTTGAAATGAGGTGCTTTCAAGAACTTATTGAGATACTTTAGATTTAATATAAAACGTTTTGTTTTGTCGGCTTTTGGTATAAGAAAATAGGGAGATAAAATTTGGTTCTCTACTGGTTGACATTGACTGATTACTCCCTTGTTCACTAAATCCAAGATGGCAGCGGAATAGTGTCTTATCTCATCTTCCTGCATTTTCTTTGGAAGATAACTATATTGAAAAGGATTTTTGAAAAATGGCATCTTATATCCCTTGACCCACGACAAAATGGTCTTATCCTGAGTAAATTGCAGCCAATTTGCCATATAATGTTTTATTCTACCACCATATACACTGGTACCCACCTCTATTTCTGGTAATTGCGTCTCTGGTACACTTTGTCGTGGCGATCCTTCCCTTGAGCCCGGTCTCTTCCTTGAGGGCGACCTTTCATTCTTCCTTTGTGGAAGTGAGGCTGGTAGTTTAAAGATACCGAAGGTCTCTGCATGAGGTTACCTCTGAAGGACTTATCAGGAAAAACGTTATTTGAGGTAGATAGCAGCTGTCTTGACGAAGATGGATGAGCATTCTTCATTTCTTTCCCCGTTCTCCATTGGGCCTTAACCTCTTTGAATTTATCGGCAAAATTTTTACCACACAAAAATTCGTCAGGTTTACTTTCTCTGACGATTTTCTTCACTGTAGAGTTTAAGTGCCCTTCTACGTGATATTTCCGGTTTGTGGACATCATGTGGAAAACGCCACACAAAATTTTGCCAGCGTCCACCACACTGGGTAACATTTTGGATTTAAAAACCATCGAGGCTGCATCCGGTGCTGCTACATCTTCTTTTAACATACCATCAATTACCCCTGCGATGGCAGCCAGTGCTACGCCCACATGCTTCTGAATAGTAGAAACATATTTGTCCTCTTTTTTGACAGGATCGCCTAAGGTTGCTTCCAATTCCGGGTTCAACAAAGGGGCTCGTAAGTAAGGAATATTTTTGGGAATCAGGTATTTTTTGTCCAACTCCTCCTTGTCCGATTTCTCTAAACCTAATGTCACGTACTTGGTCCATCGATCAGCCAGCGATTTGTGAACCTCACTTCCTAATACTGGCTCACTTCCAGACGGAATTTCGCCCAGGAGTCTAAGAATTTCCGGATTTTCATCTTGAGATTGTTCTTCAACTACAGAAAGAGACCTCTCTGCCTCATTGATTATGACTTCTGGCTCTAAATGTGTATACGTTTGTCCCGTACTATATACACTGCTGATACTTCCTGATGAATCAGAATCCGAGCTGGATTCACCTAAAAAATATATACAGTCCTCACCTACTTGCGCATGCAATATCCTTAACATATTCTGTAGAATATGTCCTGGGTTTAACGGTTTTACCCTATTTATATGTTTTTCACGTTATGTGAAAACTGCAAAAGGCTTTAACGGTTCTAGCCCATTCTTAATACATTAGGTTTAACGATTTTACCTAAAAACAACTTACTAGTGCTCTTACACCTATCACCTCGCCGACTTTTCTTGTCAATTTTCTCTAAACTCTTAATTAGTTTTCGCCGTTTTCTCTCCAATCTTGCAGCATCACTACTTGTTTTTCGCTTCGGCATTTCACGAATTTCCACCAAAATGTAAATAAACCGGTCCGTACTCGACGAAGCACAACAGTGTAATGATTCATATGCCTGGGCCGATAAGAAACGCAAGATAGATAGGTATTTTGTTTGTATACGGGGTACCTTTAAAAATGTTGTGCTCGACAAAGCATAAATGGTGTTACTACGTGTGTGATCTAATTGGACGAGTATAGCGAAGTATAATGTCATTACTCTTGATCTTTACATGTATAGCCTTAAGGGTTGTTATCTCAATCCTAATAAAGAATAAATGTACGGTTCGTCTTAACGCCATGTGCAAAATCCACACTGAGTTAGCAAATAAAGCTGACTATAATTTTATCGGGATAATAAGTATAACTTGTAGAGTGTTCATGGGATGTCGTGTCTCATGGCGATCGGACAAACTTACTTGAAGGGAAAAAAATTGAAAATCATCCGAGCGGGGTGAAATGAAAGCCCAAAGCTCAACCGCCTGAGCAAACCAAGCCATTTGACATCCGTTCCGAAACAGGCAAGAACCTAACAAGGAAACCAGAGGACGATTGAAAATGACTATTTTGTCATGAAAAGCGTTATTGTGGCTTGTTTACAAGAGATCGCTATATGCTTTAGCGGAGTTTTTAGTTCTTCTGTAGTAGTAGCATTTATGTATGATCCACCATTTAAGCTACATATGCAATTAAAGTAGCACGATCGTGATTTTTAAATATTTTATTCAAATTAATTAAACGTCTTACTCAAGATAATTATAACAAATGAATCAGATCTTGTGAACATAATATACATATAAATTAAAATTGTAATAAAGAGTTGAATCAAAACGGTAGGTCCATATTTTCCAATTTTTGTTTATTAACATACTTGTATTCTAATATCTCATAGTTTGTCAAGATGCTTGTGAGACATATTGTTACCCGAATAAAATGTGTATTATTTAGAATGTGTAAATCGAACACTCAGAGCTTAGAATACCACCCTGTTCTAGCCTGACGCCTCTCATGGTCAGGTTCTGATCACGTGGTACTGCAGTGTCACTGCCGATACGGTGCATGTGACTATACCTACTGTTCCCACCAGCGAGCTGTTTTGTTGGGTATGATTTCACTGCTGATATAAAGCTATGGTATTAAGCAGCAAATAATGAGTTTCTCATTTTTGGAAACACAGTTAAGATGATACTCTAAGTAAAGTGAAGTGCAGCACTGGAAACATGTTTTAAATATCTTGAAAAGCAAATTTACGCTTCTTAGAAGTTCACTATTTCTAGAATTATAGTCAAGATCACGAAAGATGACTATTACGTCATACCATAAATTGTACTGAAGTAATCAATGGACGGACGTACGTTGATGACAAAATCACGATGTCAGGAACATAATGACAACAAATTTATATTATGATTTTGCGAAGTTAGGTTATTTCACTGACTATTTTCATTTTATTTCATGGTTTTGTGTGATACCTCTCTAATAATTTTATTGGGGAGTTTTTGTTTTGAAATAAAAAACGGTTATGAGTAGAATACCTTAAGACAGGAACACCAAAGACCAAAGTATCATTCGAAAACAACCTAACCTGCTTTAACATAACCTAACTATCCATTTTTCAAATATGATCGATCATGCATCATGAAAATATCGTCTATCTTTGTCGGATACATGCAAATTAGCATTTCAGTTTGTTCAGACAATAAAATTCTGTTTGTCTCTGTCTAACATATCTGAAACTTCATCAAAAATATTCACAAATCGCTGTCGTTTGTCTTTACTACAGACTAAATTGATGAAGTAATCGTCATCTTTCGTGATTTCGACTATATATATCTTGTTGGAGCGTGAGACTGAGTGATGACCTCATAGCTTCCATCGCTACCACAAAGCGATGAACCCGCTGTGTACGCTTCGCGCCATTTAGGCTGGTTTTAGAGTCACGCTGACCGGTCGCTGACCGTCAGCGCCGACAGGTGAAATATATGAAAGTCTAGGAAGCGTTTTAGAATAAGGCGTAGCTGTCAGCGCGGACGGTGGTCAGCGCTGATAGCTCAGCAGCCATACGCGTCGCGCGTCGGCGGCGCGTAGCAATCAGTGCTGACCATCGCTTGCGCGCCTTTGCCTTCATTGAGCGTTCTAGTGTCAAACGGAGTGGACGCTGTCAGCGTGTACAGGTACAGTCATGTCGAATCACGATGTAGACACAAGTCGAGTCATCGACGAAGTACGCCTGAGAAGGCATTTGTGGGATGCATCTGATGCACTGTATAGAAATAAGGATGCAAGAAATAAATCCTGGGAGGATATTGTCACCACATTATACGAAAATGTTATGGAGGAAGAAAAACAACAACTTGGTAAGTGTTTTATTTATTTATCTTAGAATACCTACACTATCCGACGAACAAAGCATTTGAGAGTTAAAATATACATGAGTCTTGCCAGGACACCCTACCATTAGGACTCAAAAAATACTCAGCAAAATTTTCTCGCAGAGCGTTGCCAGACCTGTTTATAGGTACAGTTCGTATTTCCACCATACCCTCAATTGTAAGTGTATCTTCAATACTATAACCATCGCGCACTCTTATAAAATTATGCAATATACAGCATGCTTTAACTATGGTCTTTGTAACATTAAAACCCACACTAATAGGTGTATGAAACACTCTGAACTTGTTTGACATTATACCAAATGTCGATTCTATATATCGTCTACTACGGCTCAGTCTATAGTTAAATATTTTTTTCTTATGTGTCGTATTAGTTCGCGCATATGGCTTCATGATTTTGTTAGATATTCCAAAAGCACCATCACCTACAATGACATGCTCAACTGGAGTAGTTGTTCCAGGTAGTGGCTTCGGTCCTGGTATATTCAGAGTATTATTTTCTAAGCTTCTGTATAGTGTACTGTCTTGGAATATAGATGAATCAGAGTTTTTTCCATATGATCCAATGTTTACATATGTAAAACAATAATCTGCATCGCACATGGCCAGGAGAACTACGGAGTAGAAATTCTTGTAGTTGTAGAACATTGATCCACCACCGTCTGGATTTATCATTCGGATGTGCTTGCCATCGATAGCTCCGATGCAATTTGGAAAGTTGGTCTTCTGTAGGAACCCGTTTGCAATTTCTTGCCACATATCAGAGGTTTTTGTTGGTATGCATTCCTCATGTAGTGTTTCCCATATTACCTTACAAACTTCGTTTACGATTAGACTAATTGTTGCAATTCCAATCCTGAATGAATAATGCAGATCTGTATATGTTCGACCCGTAGCCAAAAATCTGAAAATAATAAATGTTTTTATTGTTTCAGCAAAACTGATTCAACAAAGATGGAAAACAGCCAGAGATGCATATTTTAGAACAAAAAACGCTATGAAAAAAACACCTTCTGGAAGTGCTGCACCAAAGTACAAAAAGTATATCTATTTTGATGAACTAAGCTTTCTGACTCAGTCAGATCTGAATGAAGTTGTTGAATCTCTGAAAGAAAACAGACCAGCAAATATGGATAATATGGCATTACCGGGGAATACGGTACCTTCTGAAAATACACAAGATTCTGATATGCCAACGCATCAAGCTTCTTCAAATACTCTACAGAAAGACCAGAACGACCATGCTGTTGGTTCCGGAACATCACAACGACCTTGGAGTCAAAAAAGAAAAAATAAGCCACAACAAAAAAACCAAGAAAATTCACCGTTTGAAAGGGATTTGTTAACATTACTGAAAAATCAAACACCAGATATTGCCGCTGACGATCTGGCTTTTTTTTCTTCTTTGGGTCCAATTTTGAACTCTTTCGATATTGAACAAAAACTGGAGTTTCGGTCGAGAGTTTTGCGCGATGCCATGGAAATCAAAAATTACAATTACCGATCAAACAGCTCGTTATCATCCCACTCGCATGATATAAGATCTCCGCCGCAAAATGATCCGTATGGGTCCTCAACATATAATAATACGACTCCAGGTTACCCAGGATATGAAACCAATGTTGCTACTCCAGGTTACTTTGGGTATCAAACAGCCAGCAATAATGACTAATAATAATATGAAAAAAAATGTTTTTCCTATGAATACTATACTTTATGATAATTTATATAAATGTTTTTTTCTTACCTTAAAGTCACCGTCAGTCTTTCAATCGGTGGTATAGGCACACGTCGTAAACTGGAATGGACCAGTTTATCTTCTGTCTTTGCCAGTAATTCGTCGAAAGTTCTAGTCGACATCCGAAAGTAATTGAAGAATTTTGTTGCATCAGCCCTCAAAGTGACGTATAATGTAACAAATTCTCCTGTGACGGCTCTCTGCTCAATCAATGGATGAACATGAAGTCTTCGTCGCCGGTTAGTCCTTCTTTTCCATACGTAGTACAAAGCAGCAATGATTATTGCTCTCCGCATTTTGCTTCTGCGACTGTACTCCGTGGCGATCAGCACGATACTAAAACGTTTCGCGCTGACGCTCGGCGCTGACAAACCACGCGCTGAGCTGTCAGCGCTGACATCAGCTTGACACTAAAACCAGCCTTACAAACGTTGCTCTGTTCCGTATTTACGATTTGCGGTAAAAATAGTTAAAAAAATGGGTCAGACCATCGGCTTACAAAAACTGTGTTTTAGCTAGGTGTGCAAATACAGACGTATTAGCTCCATTGAAACATGTCTACCTCAGCCTTAATGTAGAAGAATTAGAAGAAAGTGGTGCAGGGTGATGGACAGGCACAAGGACAAAAATATCATTGTACTGTTGTAAATATCACTTTAATGTTGCTAGGCGATTTAATTAATATGGTAAAGAGGATAAAAATAAATGTTTGTATATGTGCCTATTATGATGGTGGATATTATAATTGGTGTAAACAAGAACGGGGTAGATTTGCTTTCATTTCGAGTAAATATGATTATTAATTAAAATGATCCTTGAATTTTTATAACCGAATAGTATCACGTCTTGAAATAATCAGCTGTATTGAGATGTTTTACAATGGATTGCAGAGTAAAAAGTATGTTAGTTATTACGACATGGCGTTGTATTACTGATCAGCCGACACATGACACTATACGACAAAAATATGTAATTGATACTTTTCCGTAGTTAGTGAATTCAAAAAGAGCCCTCATTAGGGTCCGCTCTGTTTTGGATTTCACATGTTTGTTGGACAGTCACTTAAGAAATATGTCAGTTTCGGCTGCTACTGACTGCAAGTTCGGCAATTACGCGACATTATACAATAATACATAATTTATACCTTGGAACCATATAGAACTGTAATTTGAGCACAGCCGATTTTTTTTGCAAACATCACCGTTATACTGGATACGCCGGTTAGATTTTTTAAGAAGCGATGTTTAATTCTTTATTAGCGATCTCAAAAACTTTATTTTTGAGCGCGATTAAAAAATGTTTTGCTAACATAGCCGCCTTATTAAAACCGCTATTTCGATATTAGAACAATCGCTTTCAAGTTCGTTATTAGTGAACCGAAAACATCTACAACTTAGATTTGAGCTCAATTGAGACATTTTTTGCAGATTTACACCATATTATATCCACCTTTTTGATACCTAACTGATGGATACATATTCATTAGCAACGACCTGGATAACGTAGAGATATGTTTATGAAATTTAGTTAATTTTTCTAATTTTGGCCAAGTTCTAACTTCTTTAAAATTTAAGTTATCGGAATAATTATTTCAGGTTTGTGAAAGATACTATTATAGTCAAGTGAGACTGGAAGTATTTTCGACTAAAGCAAACTACCTAACTCTCGTGGTAACGGAGAATGCCATCATGACCAAAGTTTTTCTATGAATTGAGGGTGACACCAAACGATCAGTAGGCTGCAAGGGGTTAATGAAGCGATCTTTTTTTTAAAAAAAGAGCGGTCAAGCACAAGCCATATATTATGTGGGGCACACTTACCCGTACTGATTGATTAGTATTTCATATTATCTGGGAGAGTACCCGCAAACTCTCTATATTTGCGATATGACAACCTTTGCAGGACTACTCTTAGAAGTTATTCCTTGCTTCATCAATCCTGTCTTAATGAATAGAAGTAATCGAATCTGTCAGTGCAGGAACCTCGAAAGTCGCTCGATTTGAATTTTGTATGAGACGATAAAAACTACCACTAACAAATAAACGAGTCTTAAAGTGCTTGCTTGGGCTTGATACAGTATTTGAGTTTTAAAAAACTAAAATTTCGAGCAACCTTCAAAAATTATTAATAATAATAACGAAAACAGCCCGAAAAAATGTTGTTTTAGTAGGAAATATGGTTCGTGGTACATAACCTAAGCAAAAAAATATATTCATCCTATCTTTTATTGCTTATCATTGAGAATTGAACATAAATATTGATTTATTAATATAGCACACTTTTTACTTTTGGATGTTTCAATATATTTAAGGTACCTACATAGAAAGGACCAGGGCAAAGCGAATTTTCCGTTTTACATCTGAACCAAGAATCGACCATTATGAAATAATTCGTAGACTTATTCGCTCAACCTCCTTCAGTCATTGGCAATCGGTTGCAGAAGAACCCACGTGCTTCTTTAATGTATCAACGTGTATTTTTCAACAAAAAAACCTTGCAAGACAGGCGTTATGTATGAAATTTCATCTACAATATACTATCTTCACGAACAGCTGTTCAAAATGTTCACCCTATATTCCAAGGACCTTCAACAGTCATACAAATTAGAAGGATTGCATCAATGCTTTAGGTAAGAAAAAAGAAACCTCTCAAGCAAGTGATTTCGGGTAGAATATACTGGGTGATTCTCTAAGGTGGCTCACTGCTAAGGCTTTTTTATTATTGAAGATAGAAAAACGAAATTAGGAGGTGGCGGATTACAGATGAATTTACATTTTTTGACTTATTCACTTGCTTTGACGTGCTTCCGTTTTGACCGGAAACGACTCCAACTTTCGATTTTTAAATGGGACACCCTATATGTTTTTACTTATTTCGGTCGAGAATGACATTCTGAACTCAACAGCGCCTCACTTGTCAATATTTAACAAATAAGGTCATTTTTATTTTTCGATCTAGACTGCCATGGATCCTGTAAATCGCTTCATTTTTGATCAAGTAACACCGGAAAAATACGATTTTGAGGCGAACTACCTTACAGTCGTTTTAAAGGTTTTCTAAAAGCAACAAAGACTAATTTTTCAGTTTACTTGATTTTTTCAAATAGAAACAATGTGGCTGGTCGGCTCTTTCTAAGAGACCGTCTTCTTACGATTAACTGGTTTGCAGTGATGTTCCGGAATGTCGCCGTTACTTTACGTTCCAGTTCTTCGCGAGTAATATACACCTGATTTTCAACTGCCCTCAAAGAGAAAATCTGGCGGAGTAAGATATGGTGATCTCGAATGTGAAAAATAAATCAGACGTTCCAAAAAAATATGAGGATAAGGATATTCCTCGGAGGCCATTGAATAGGTCCATTAGTGTCAATTCACTTGTTTGGGAAGATGTCATTCAGATAATAATAATAATAATAATAAATAATAAATGATGTTCTCTTACCGCATGATAATTCTAAGGTGGGGCCCCATCTTGTTTAGAATAGATATCAACTTGGTTAGCTAGTTGCAAACCTTCAATTAAACCATTTATTTCATTATTTATTGAGTGTAGATATCTTTCCGCAGCAAGTTGTCCATAGAAAATTATTGGCCCAAAAGTTTTTCTCCGATAATACCCATCCAGCAATTGAAACCGCCTTTGAAAATTTCCTTTGTGACCAGTACCTTTTATTATTCCGGTTGAACATACCTAAGTTGGTAAACCGACTTTAGTCCGAATAAATAATTTTGAACGGAAAGCGTACATCTTCTCTGTATTTAGTCAAAATCCAGTTGCAGTAAGTTAATCTTCGGTTGTGGTCCTTAACGTAAAGCCTATGATGCAGTTGGTACTTGAATGATCAATAATGATATCTGTGAATAATTCTCCAAACAGATGAATAACTTATGTCACATCCTAAAACTATTTTCCAAAGTGACACCACCTCTATTTCTTTCTCTTCACTAACGTTACACCTATTGGCATTTTTTTCTGCTTCATTTCACATTTTCTGTTAGGGTTTTGGAAAATAATGCCAAATTTGAGCTGCCACAGTTGCATTTTTTCTTGCTTCCCCGTAAATCAACAGCATGTTAATTAACTACGAAACATGTAAGTTTTTAAAACTGATAGTATTTTCAATAACCTAGATTAGGTATTTGTTAAGTAACCCTAGCAACAACTTCAATTGCTTATCACGGATAACTAGAATAATAGAACTTAGTGCATAGTTATACCGAATGAGGATACGTATTATATGTTGTTAGGTATGATCGTTTCTCAAATTACTCAGAAAAATAGTGAAAATAAAACGAGTGCCTGCGGTGTCAAATTATTCGTAAGAAGATAGTCTTTTAGAAAAATTGGACGAAAAACTCAAATAACCTGAAAAAATTAGTGTTTGTAACTTTTAGAAACTCTTTAAAGCGGCTGTAAGGTCCTCCGCCTCAAAATCGTATTTTTCCGTGTTACTTGATCAAAAATGAAGCGATTTACAGGATCCATGGCATTCTAGATCGAAAAATGAAAATTGAAATAAAAATGATTTTATTTGTCAAATATTGACAAGTGAGGCGTTGTTGAGTTTAGAATGTCATACTCGATCGAAATAAGTAAATACATGTAGGGTGTCCCATTTAAAAATCGAAAGTTGGAGTTGTTTCCGGTTAAACCGCAAGTACGTCAAAGCAAGTGAATATTCCAGAAAATGTGAACTCATCTATAATACGTAACCCCAAAATTTCGTTCTTCTATCTTCAATAATAAAATAGCTATAGGGGTGAGTTGCCTTTGAGAAACACCCGGTATATAGTCCGTGGCCTTATTTTTGTAGTTGGATTTGAGATTGGATTTTTGCTGTATATAGCACATACATGTGTACATAAAACAATACTGGTACTGTTTTTGAAATGACCCGCTCATTTATTATTTGGAGAGAAAAAAATGTAGTGACTTACGAGGTGTCTACCCAGAATATGCATCTACCTTTAATGAAGCGTTTTCAGTAAAAAACGGACTAACTGATTTCTGCACTGACGATACAACTACACTAACGTAGTTACAAGCGAAAACATGCCTTCCCAAAATGGAGAAGCGGTATCAAGGATTAAGTATAATAAAAACTATTTCCCTATCGACCTGTATAACATATAAGGTGAACATTTTAATATTTATAACACATCAAACAAAAGTGAACCATTGTCGATATATTTGCAATTTACACAGCAACAATGGATGTGGAAAAATCTCAGCTAATGGATACAACGATTGAACAATTCAATTTTTACCACATTCAATGTGGCTAGAAGCGATGGACTGGAAATGTCGACCTATACATTTTTCGCATATATGACATAGATTTTGTTTTTGTCTGTACTTTTAATGACCATTGCATTCGAATAAAAAAGCAATCACAAAGGAGCAAAAATGCTTCGCGTTTTAATTAATGGTTACAGCCTATATCGGCAAATGTCAATTTTAAAACTGGCACATGTTAGCATCATAAGCGTCAGCAGTATGAACCCCCTACAAGTAACCAAATTATAGTTGACCAAAAGTACGTCCGACATGACTATTAATTAAAATGTTAACCTGTTTTGCCCATATTCGGTATCAAATATTAACAAGTTAGA